CCATTGCGGCTTCGGTCACTATTGTATATACCATTGAGAGGCATCACGGGGTCGTGGTACACACATACACACCAGCATTCACTGAGGAAAGTGAACCAATCCCCCCGTGCGAGCCCAATCTCAAAGATGTAAACATTTTCTTAAATAAGCGATGCTGCATGAGGGCCAAGCAATGTGTAAACAGTACGGCCCTTATGTAGTGGTTATACAATATACATGGAAAAAAAAAGGTAGGTACCTATGTATGGCTATAGGTGTATTTATATCTGAAGGGTTGTTGTAAATTGCATCCAATTTTCAATTTTTTTTTGTAAATTGTGGCTTGGTATAAAATATAATTTGTACCTACCTACCTACATATGTAAATTTCAGAGTGCCGACCTCATATATTTTGTACATACCTAATGCAAATTTCCGCCAAAATATTTTTTATTCTTACCTACCTAAGTTAGGTCTAGGGGATATTTTTCAGACTTACGACTGGAAATATAATTGTATTAAAATTGGGATTATAATATTATATATTTATATCATATATATAATATGCTTGAAGTCATATGGGTATATTGGGTATATTCAGTCCTGTAAAGAATACTTTTGAAAAGTACTTGAGTAAGTACTCAAATACATTTTTTTTCAAGTATTTAAGATACTACTCAAATACTTTTCAAAAACTTTTGGTTTTTAAAGTGGGTTTCTAATTATTGTAATATAGACACATAGGTAGTAAATTTATAATCATTTTTATTTATTATTTATTAAATAAATGTTTATTACATTTATTTTTTTTTATTTTTACATGAAATTTACAATCTGTTCTTAACTAGAATAGAACAATAAGCAAATGTGCATAGGGTATTTGCGTATGATTTTTTTTTTTTGAGGGAAGAAACCACCCATTGGTGATACTACCTATTTTGTGTTCTTAATTCATTCTAAAATTTCTAAAATTATTTTGAATAAAAATAAAATGTTCGAAATAAAAAAATACCAAAAGTATTCAATACAAATAAAAGTATTTAAAATACCATTCAAAATACTTCATGCTGAAAGTATTTAAAAAGTTATTCAATACTTAAAAAAGTATTTGAATACTTTTACTCAAATACTTTACAGGACTGGGTATATTATGTAATTATATTGTCAAGAATGTCATGCAATTCCAAAAAGTGATAATTTAGGTAGGTCGTAAGATAGAAGCTCGACCATTGTGTACATTTATTTTAAGTGTCTACTGTCTACATGACTACATCTCGAGAAGCTAAAATTAAAATATCACAATTAAAAAAGGTGCTCTGCTGTACAATAGGTTACAAGTGGGTCACTGTATAATGGATGGAATTAATTTTGAATTCAATGATATAATATCATTATATGAGAAAAACGATTCTGAGTGGAGACGGTATGTCAGTCTAGGTTTAAGACATATTATATACATATCAATGGTAATAAAAAAAAATATGCACATTCTTATCATAGAGAATACTTCTTATTCATTATACTATGGTCGATTGTATAGATAGGCCATAATATTTTGATTTTTCAGTTTCATATATCCCATAATAATATTTTTAAATTACAACAAAAAACTAAAATCGTTAATATTGATTTTAATATGTAATTTCGTCCAAATTTGAACTCACTCGATTTCTCATGTAGCGATTTCCTTATTTTGTTGTAATTCAAAAACGAACAACTAACTGTAGATACATGAAAATTTCACTGAATGTTTAAATTAGCATTTCCTATACACCATACAATTTTGAAAATATTTTGACTCTTTTTGAGCTATTTACGGACATTTACCGCTTTCAATTTTTTTTAGTTTTTTTTTCTATAAATATCAATAAAGTTTTATCTGTTGGGCCAAAAAGTGTAAAAATTTAATACAATGCTCCTGATATACTGTTACAATATCAGTTAAAAAATATTAAAAATATATAGGCAAAGTTTTTTTTTATAAGCATTTAAAGATCGAATTTTGACAAAATTTATCAAAATCTCGAAAATTATCAATCATTGTAATTAATAAATTATAAAATGTTCAGTTTTTATTGCTAAGGAATGCAAATTTTAAACAAAGATTCTCATAAATAGTTCATACTGTAACCAAAAAATATAAAAAATATATGAACACAGTTATTTTTTTCAGATATTTTAAATTCAAATTTGGATGAAATTACATATTAAAAAACCCAGAATAACTATTTTAGTTATTTTGTTGTGATTGAATATTATTCGTGGGTACTTGAAACTTCTAAAGTGTACTATTATATATTTATATATCTATGATAGTATCACGGTTTTTGTTGATGTATAACGCGTTATAAGTACCTAATGGATATTGTGATATGATTAATTTGGAATTTATTATAGGTAGGTACCTATTGTAGGTCAATTTTTTGTTTAATACCATAGAATGTATATAATATGTCTTATACCTAGACTGACATACCATCTCCGCTCAGAATCGTTTTTCTTATACAATGATATTATATCGTTGAATTCAAATTTAATAACTTGTAACCTACTGCACAGCAGAGCGACACCCACTTGCCCACCTTTTTTAGTTTGTTATTTGCATTTAAGAGGTTTATAAATATATAAAAATTTTCTTTGTTATTGTCATTAATACAAACATTCCACTTTAAATTCTTATCCACGACTATACCAAGATATTTTATAGAATTAACTCCGTTTAACACACTACAATTGCATACATTTCTTGCTTTTGCATTGTTAATACAAATTACAACTATAAGTATAAGGAATACTTTTATAATTATCTAAATGTATAGAATATTTTATACCAAAGTGAGAATAATTAATTTTTTTCCTACCGATCTCTAGTGAATTATTGCCTAAAGGTTACCGCCAATTTTAAACGCCGGTGATGCCAAGACAAAATAGGTTTTGTCATGGGTAATGCTTTCTTCAGCCATTTAATATAAATTATTTAAACACTTACTATTTAATAAGATGATAGTATCATCAGCAAAACAAACTATATTTTCAGGAGTAGGTATCTTGATAAAGTAGCCCGTTAATGTATATTATAAACAATCCTAGTACAGTATATTGTGGTACTGCGCGAGTAATCAATTTCCTGTTTGTAATCATTATCTATATTTACTCTTTATATTCTGCTGTTTGTGTATGACTCAAATAACTTATGCTATGGTAATAATATTATAACTATCGAGTAGAGTATAAATAGTAGGATAATAACTGAGTCAAAATGCTTGTTTAATATTTAAAAATACTAAGAACATGTTATTTGTTATCTTAATTAACATATTATATATATATATTGAGTAGCTTATTAGTCGAGAGGTTACTTCAAAAACCAAATTCATTAGAGTGAAAGAAATTATATTTATTGAACAATTCTTATAACTTATTTTTAAGGCATTTTCACAGATTTTTAATTAAGTTTAAGTGAGAGATATAAGCTTGAAGCTTGTAGTTTAAACATTTGCTTCTATTACTATTTTTGTAAATTGGAATAACTACAAATTCTTTAAATTATTTAGGGAATAAATTCTCTTTTAGAAATAATGATATTAAATATTATGGATAGAGGCGCAGCTATAGAGTTAGCTCTATTTATAGTTTATTATTATTAAAAGTCTGAATTTGATTTATTTTATGAGTAGACATTACCAGATGATACAATGGTCAAAGAGTTAATTAAAAATGCCGAACACCACGAGGAGTTGTCAAGATCAATCATAGAAAGAGTGCGATCTGGTAAACATGCGTTCATTCACCGTCGAACCAATTTAATGTATATTATGAAGAATGATTTTCTTAAAACTAATAGATGTGACTTTGCTATAGGTAAAACAATCAATTAGTATATTAATTTTAATTGTTGATGACAATGAGCTTAATATTTAAGAGTAATTTACAGGAAATGAAGATTTTGCTGAAGAAAAATTGGCAATGATGCTATCAAAAGAAAGCCCTTATCTCAGTAGAATAAACAGAGAGTAAATATAATTAAATATTTAAACAAGTTTAAAAAAAACAATGTATACAATATTCTATTTGAATTAAGATTGAAATAAATGTTGTATGCTTTTTGGGGTACTACAAGTTACACATCTATGATTTAGCTAAACATTTCAAACATTAGATAAACACAGATGTGTACATGTCATTGCCTGTTTACATGGTCCACTTAAAAGTTTAAACAAATTTAATATAAATTACAAACAAAAAACAAACTTAGGAAGACATTGCCATTATTTTCTACACTTAAACAAAAAAAAAACATTAGTTTTTCAGTTAAACCACGTAATAAGTAGGTAAATAAATAAGGAATAAACAAATAAAAAAAAAAATCTCTAATAACTATCCATTTTTTTCTTAGAAGCACAAACAACTATTTGAGTACTTAACTAGTATGCTTATTAATTATTAGTACTATTAGAGCAGATATTTGATTTTTCTATGTGTTTAATTACAATATACAAGTATAATTCAATAAACCTATCCTATTATCACAGGATTGAAAAAATGCATAAGGTTGGTCTCATAAATAAATGGTTAGTGGACACATTACCCAAAAAAGACCAATGTTGGACCAACACACAATTAGAAGTAACAAATCATAAAGTAAATTTAGATGATATGCAAGGATCGTTTATTGTTCTATTATTGGGTGAGTCTACTTTTACAAACATAAATTATTTATACAATACTTTTTTTTCTTTATTTATTTGTTTAAGGTGTATTATCATCACTGGTGTCATTTGTTTTTGAATACATACTACACAAATACATAAATCGGCGTCAGATAGTAATAACACCATTCATAAACTGATATCAAACAACTGTATATTCAACAGTCTTTTTTTTTTTATTAAAATATATAGATAACAATGGTAATTAATATTCTTACAAATAATTAAACACATAAATATACAAATAATTCTATACTTGTATATTATAATATTATATTGAAGTTATAAGTACCATTTCTTAATGTTGAATCTTTACTTCAGATGGTTATTTTTACCAGTAATATCACCAAGATAAGTAAAAAGGTTCTTAATTTTATAACTTCGTTTACGATTGGTGAAATAATGTGATACGACATTGTCATCTATAAAAATTTAAAATTTAATTAATTATTATCAACAAATATTTGTAAGTTATGGTGTATTAAAAATCTCATGTAATAAATATTTTATGAGTCCAATAGAACAATTATTATAAAGTAAATTATAGACAATATACTATTTGCTATGTGATGCGTTAGTAAGACAGCTGAATGATACAACAAATGAGGGTACAAGTTCCTATTATATGATCAAAATAATATACTGCTATACTTTCATAATTAGAATCTGAAACTAATCTATACATTTACTTTATAACGGTAAAAGTTTAAGTTTGACAGCTAAATGTATATAAATCAGGGCTTAAATTTAAAATAAATATACATTGTTTTTACGTTTTCGGATATTTAAACATTATACAATTTTAATGTTTATTGTTATTGCACTTTCAGATGCTATGCAATTTTAATGGTTATTGTACTATCAAACGTTATTTGATTTTTCCCGTTTATCGTTTTTATATTTTTAAGCATTATTTAAATTTTTTGTTATCTGTTTAATTTTTTTTTTCTAAATTATATTGTTATTTTTGGTATAGATAGGTAATTAACCAAACTTTGACGTAAAATGTGTAACTATGAAATTAGTAGAATTTGTTGTCCAGGATAGGTTATTTTCAATTATCCTAGGGTTTTTAGTAAGTAGCTACAACTGACATTTTGATGTTAGTATAGGTGTCAAATATTGCATAAATATTAGGGCATGAATGAAAGATGAAATAATAGATTTTATTAAAAGAAAATATTTATAACAAATTTTAAATTTACAATGATACTTTTTACTCTGTAATTTCTAAAACTAGAGTGAAATGACCTTCTTATAAAATTTAAAGATAAGGTATTATCTAAGGCATCTCATAGGCTTTTAATGACATTTTAAATTTAAAGTGAGTTATGAGTATACTATTTCAAGATGTATAAACAATTTATAATTTTAAAATAATCATAACTCACTTTAAAACGAAAATATAATAAAAACACTATGAGATGCCTAGATAATAATCTTACCTTTACATTTTATCATGGGTCAATTCACTATAATTTTAAGAATATTAGAGTAAATTGGATTATATTAATGTAAAATGTATTATGTTGTACGTGTGTAGGACAGGCACAACACATGCTTAAGTCTAGCACATTTATTTTTCAAATATTTTAGCATTAAAAAAGTAATAAACTAGTTAAATATATATTGAACATTTTAGTAATATATTTTAAGCAAGTTGCTATATATAATTATTGTCAGTAAAAATTCAATACTTTTCGATATAATAAGTGTTCAATGAAATACCCTGTATAATAAGATTTTACTTATATAAAAATGATTTATGAAGTGTCACTAAACAAATCTATTAAGGGTTGTGATTCATAACAAGTTGAAAAATACTAGTTTTAACACTCCTGATTATCTAAAAAAATATTGTGAGCATATTAGGCATCCGTAAAGCGTATGATTAGAATTCATTTGTTACTATCTCTTCGTTGAACTATAAAAAAAATCAATGTTCCGCAATTGTATTTCTGATTTCCACATAATAATAAATTATTGATTTGTAGAGATTCTATTGGATCACCAATTGCTTGGTGCTTGTAAAACAATGGACAGCAAATTTCTCTGCATAGATAAAACCAATTAATTCGGTCAGTTTTGAAAGAGAACATTCCGTATTTTTAAGAGAGGTCTTGGATACAAAATTAAACAATTTCTAATATTTGGTCCGAACTTGGATTTGAATGACAGCAAGAATAAATATAAGAAATACTCGATATAGGTAAAAATATATTATTTGAACAAATTGATTGACTTCCTTACAACGCACCTGATAGTTTGTATTCTCATGTCTCTCCAGATGCTAATTCCTTTTATCGTTTTTATCATTAGTGACTCCATCACACTTCAAAATACCATTGTTAATTGTGCACTATACGTCTATACGTGTCAAATTACAATAGATCACGGCAGACCTGGTACGCAATACGCTTTACCAATGCAAAATAATCCAACTTAAAGAGAAAATATGTATTGCTATAAATAAGTACTTAGAATTAGTAAAAGTGTTCAACTTACCCACATTAGTAATAGGTAATGTATTATCATTGGCTGATAATGATAATATAAACATAAACGGCACCATCCATAAACACACTGTGAAGTATGAAAAAACCTAAAAATGTATATTATATATATGTTTAATCAGACATTAATAAGAATAGATATATTAAAAAAAAAAAAGTATACATACTTCAGATATTGTCGTATACCGTTGTCGGAAAAATTTGAAGGCTAGCACGTGATTTCCAATTAACAGAATAATTGATGAAATGAATGATAGCGATGTCAAGTTGAAATGTGGAAAGTCGGTGAGCAAAAAGTAGTACACTATATGACTCAAAAGACCCAAAGCAATCAATGTTAAAGGTAAATTGTCAAATACATACAATCCAATATGACATATTATCACAACCTGTAATTAAGTATAACAGTTTAGTTAATTAAATGAACCATTTTTATTTTTGACTCTAAGCTAATATATAATATTGTGTTATAATTATTTCATAACATTTTGAAAAAAAAATAAGAAATGTAGATACCTACAAAATTATGATTTTTACGTTCTAATAGGTACCTAATTATATTTAACTCTGTGGTTATGATAAGTCACCCTCACTAAATTTGTGAATTGTAATAGTTTAAAGCGATAAATTACTTTATGATTTGGTAAACAAACAACTTAATATTTAATCTTACATGAATTGTCCATTTTATAACTTTTCTTGTTAATGATGTGTGCTCTTCAACAAATTCAGCCAAGTAATAAACTCCAGCACCTGGAAGATAGAAAAAAAAAACGATGATATAAATGTATTTGAAACTGTAGTTAACACCATGACGTGAACACGCTATAGTTTTGGTGTCCACAACCAGATTTGTCATTCGTGAAAGTTTGTTTTCAATCAACCACAAATACCTATGTCGAATGGCAAAATACTACTGTTACAAAGTAGTTGAAAGAATTGTGGCATAAAAAGCACATTCAACAACGGGATTAGATGCACAAAGTTTGAGGTGGGCGTCATGAAAATCTTGCATCAAACATTCTAAACGATCTTTTAACTCACCAATGAAAACCGAAATTAGTGCTATCTGCAGTACGGCAGCAATAGCGATGACTAAAAACATAAAAATCATCGCTCTGCGGCACACGGACGTGGAATGGTTGGTAGTTTTTTTTTTTTATCAGATCCCTTGTGTTGATTACGAGGCCATTTTCAGACATTTATCTAGAAAAAACAAGCGATCAGTAAGAATTTCACTGCGAATGACACGGCAGACGAACTAGGTACGACGTTATTTTATTGTACTCAGTGTCCATCTCGATGCTTGTGATCATGGTGATTCTGATTTTTGGCCTCTATGCCTACGGTCAGCGGCGACGACGAAGCATGTTATTAACAGCTATGAAATTTACATTATGACTTTTGAGATAGTGACAACGTGAGATAAGTGATAACGTCTATGGTAGTATATTTGTGGTAGTTGGCTTCACGATTTAAGACATCTTCATAGATAATAGATATCATGGTAGGTACACAGACATATAATATATAACTATATTAATGAATATCCATTATTTAATAGTTTAATATCTATGGATATCAGTGGTAATTGCTCGTCATTTAATCGGTCAAATGCATAGATAATAATATATAATATATTATGTATTATCTATGGTCGAATGACGGTATCTGCGCGGTTTTATTTCATAGACATTATATTGAATGATAATAATAATTAAAATAAATTTACACATAAAGGCTGTCTTGTGCACATAAAATAGAGTACCACTTATTTTTCCAGGGTTATATTTTCCAATGTTGTGTATATTTATGTTATAGCGCCGCGGCACTGCGGCAGTAATGAGAAAGCAATTCCCGTGGCGCCGTCAGTTATAAACTGAAAAAAATAAATAAGAAAGGTATATTTATGTTGTTTTGTAAAGTATTTTATTACCTACATTCCCGTATAATATTTGCCTGTGTCCCTAATAACTTCCGGATTATTACCTAAGTCCATGTGTACGTAATACTTTCCCGATTTATTCATTCCTGCAATCCATCGTAATAATAATTGTTAGTGTGTAATTTTTCTCGTGTAAATGTGTAATGCTTTAGATCGTAGAATCGTACGGCGTACCTGGAGGTCACGAATTAAGATATTATACTTTAATTCGTGGTGGAGGTAGAACGAACAGAATTTCTGCTGTTGGCCGTTGGGGACCATTTGGTAATTTGTAACTATGTACCGATGGAACGAACAAAAGTAATTGTTACCACGATTATAAAGAACCGTGATTACAGGAGTATCGCTTATCACTAGTCGGTTGTGTTTAGTTCACAGATATATAGTATACAATAACTATAATATATACAATAAGTTATTGTATATATCTGTGGTTTAGTTTTCGTAGTTTCCGTGACGGAATAATATTGTTTTACCGCCCGTGCTTGTCTGGCTAAATAATACATTTCAGGCGCATTTCAAACATTCATTTTTAATAATACAAATAATATCTCATCAAATTTGTACCTGTGAAATCAAAAAGTTATGTTTTTCTTGGTTTCATTCATGTGCTTTGTACAGTGATCGGCGAGATTGCAGTAGACATATAGACAAAATCGATAGGTAGCAAGTAGCCAACACTGTACGCATCGTGTTTACCGACCACTCCGCACCTTGTCTACTAGCCGGTTCGCCGCTGTATGTCGGCCGGGTAATAAATTATACTAAAGGCACTTAGGCACAGAACAACGTGCCGGTAACGTCGGACAAAGGATCGACCCCTTTTTTTAGGTTATTTGTTGTTGTATATACCACGACCCCGTTAGGTTTTACTAATATTGGTATACCGGGAATACTTGAATGGGGAGACCATGAAACTCGTACGCATAAAAAAACGCCCCGAAATGAGTCGCACGATTGAACGGCCACAGGCTGCGCTGCTCACTCTTAGCGTCTCTACTTAGAGTTTTGCCTCAACTACCTCTACTTTGAGTTTTAACGCATTCAAAAAATACGCCACGTCATACCTAACCACCATTATTCTATGGATGACTGGATTAACTACTACGAGAAAACGTACACGTAACCTCAAAACACAATCGTCGTTCTATAGGAGACCGGACTACTACCGCAGTGTCGTAATATCGTATACATCTCAAGACTGAGTGATCGAGGCTACCTACGTACATTGATCGAGTTCTTTTTTATAACTTCCAACTGCGTATATCCGATTCGTCAAATTATTCTTGGTGGTTGCACTTTTATATTAATTATTTTAAATTTATTTTTGATGTTAATATATAACACTACGTTTTTAAAATGCATAAGTGTGTAGTGTGTGGCAATACGTATAAAGAAACCAGTGTCAAACGTCCACGAGTTATTTATCATGGGTGAGTATCAATTGGTTCTAGAAATTTACTCGCTCAAACTGTTGTGAAATAAACGCACATGGATCTTTGAATCATATTATTGACATGGTTCATTATCCTGGTGCGGGATACTGTGAAATAATTTTGATCCCGTTTAGCCTAAACATTTTTACTTTGTGTTTATTTTCCGAACCTAACATTAGCAATTCATTGTATTCATTGATATTTGCTTTAATATAGATTTCCCAAGGATGTATGCATGCGAAAAAAATGGCTTCAAGTTCTTAAAATCGATCGTTGTTATGATTGGCACCGTGTATGTAGTGATCATTTTTCGGAAGGAAACTATAAGCCACCAAGAAGGCGATTTTTATTTCAAAATACTATTCCTAAACCTTATGGTTATTCTTCTAAGTAATACTTCTGGATCTTTATAATTTAATTTTTCATTTTCAATAGTATTTTTATTTTTATATAGATATGCTCTTCTCAGTAATGATGTTGAAACTAAAAATATATCACCAAGGCGGTCATCTACACTCACTACTGAGAATATGAGTAATAAAAATAAGCCGGTCAGTAAATAAATATATTTTATATTTTTTATAAACATTGTCAATCCAGTCTGATATCTTTTTTATGATTTTCCATGCTTTCCTTATTGAATACGTAGGGCCTTGGTCTTCAACGTCTTGGTTTCTCTTTAGTAATTTAGTGCTTTTAATTAGGCATTGGTAATATTCTTGTCCACTTATATTTATAAAATAGTTGGTAGTTTGATCACCAATGTGGCTATCGAACAATTGAGAAAACTTAAAAATAACATAGAACTTACCGTTGACCCAAAAATAACCCGAAAAAGAATACGATTGAGAACGAATTTACGTGCAACGTTGCCATATCATTTATTATTATCATTTAACAAATATTCTTTAAAAAAGACATTTGTAATATAAATATATTTAAAAAAAAAAAGTAAAAATGAAGAATTATGAAAATATGTGATAAATACCTTTGTATAAAAAATGTAATAAATATGTAATGACAAATGAGTTACCTATGAATTAGTTATAGCGGGATAGCGTAATCCAACATACTCTAAATATTTTACTAAATTACTAGAACTTTTATTCGCTACAAACCACATATATTTTATTATGAATATTAATTAATTTTTCCTTTTGTTATATTGGCATTTATTTTTTTTACCCTGTTCTATCGTTGCTATTTTTAATGAAGTTTCTGAATGAGTTTCAATTAGTGTTTTAATAACATAATATATTGCTAGATGGGAACTGTAAAATTGGCTATTAAATTTTCTATGAAAGCTTTTGTGGCATTGGTAGACCTAGAAAGTTATTAACTGTAGTAATTATTAATTTGCATGTATTAATTTATTTGAAACTTACCTGGGATTTTCCGAAAGTTTGAACTTTGAAATGAACGAACCCAAAACGTACAAAATCATAATTAGTAAGAACATAGTTTACATTGAAGATCATTTCTTGAAAATTGAACTCGTTCATGTCAAGTTCACACAATATGAACGCTTTCTTTCCCATCACTGATTAGTTTATTTTAAACTTACCTGGGATTTTCAGACAGTTTCATTGCCCACAATTTCATATTGATTGAACAGCCATGTTCATTGTAATTATTTAAAACATAATCCTAAAAAATTTGACCAATTTCTTCATTTGGACAAACAGTGATTAACTCTACGAATGACATAACTTCCAATAAATATTAAATATGAACCATATCAATCGTTCAGCCAAAATTGTATAACGTTCTTATTTTCTTAATTGTTCTTTAGCCGATTATCGTGCTTAAATTATTATTCGATTAAATTTGTCAAAGTTGGAAAAAAAAATAATCGAGAGTTCTTAATTGTGTTACCAAAAATAACGTTCTCAATCGTATTTTACCGACCAATGTGTGTACTCTTTTTGGAAAACTCTTGGGATATATTTTTTAGCCACTATTAGTGTATTGTTAGGAAATATCTACTGTAATTAATCGGGGATCTGTGTGATTCATTTAAGCATTTAACTATGGTGTCAACGTCTTTTTTGAAAAGAAAACCTGTCCTCTTTCCTGAAGTTCCATTTCACAATATATTTGATCTTAACAATGATACTATATTAGGAGTTTCATAAAGGTATATACAATATAAAAACCTTTTTTTGTTTATAAATAGAAGAGTAGCTGTAAATATTTGTTAATAATTTAAAAGTATAATAATACTATCTGAATTACCTGGCAATGCTCGGCATTCCTTTTGGATGTAACACACTGTGGAAGCAATGTCTTTTTAAGTTTAGATGATATTATATTTTAATGAATATTCATCCCACCCGGCATTGTCTGTGAGATTCGCTTGTGATTATGGGAGCAGTATTTTATCAGGTAGTTCGCTGACCCCATTTGGTTTTTACGTAACTCTAAAGTATCAAAGTTTTCCAAAGTTTGTCGTTTTTGCTTAATTTAACCAACTAAGGATTTATACAATCAATTAATACAAAACCCTAACCTAACCGTCAACAACCTGATGAATAAAAAAAACCAAACATTCTTATGTATAGATCAAAAAGAAAAAACTACAAAAAATTGGGTCACCGAAACCATGGTTCGAACTTGAGACATTCTGTACTAAAATACATAAAAGTGCCAGTGGCATTTATTTCTATCGACTGCCGCAGCGAAATCTGTCGTAACTCAATAAATAGAACTTATTTTTTCAATTAGTATTTACTA